GTGACAAATGGGTAGAGTCAGGGAGAATCACAAAGGTTAGGATTGTGCACAAAGGAACTGATAGAAACACATCTTTGGTGAACCTCTAGCTACAAATGTATAGCCACAGATCATACTGAGACAAATTTTGTGGAAGTCTTAAGGGACATTAATATCACAGGTTTCTTTTATACCATTCTCATACCACCTGCTTCCTTTCTGGCCATGCTCTCTTTCTTTCAGCTTGTTCACAGGAGACTGCAGAAGATTATATTATATATATATATATATATACATATATATATATATATATATATATATATATATATATATATATATATATATATATATGGTGCAGTTCAATTTATATTACATGAATCCTTCACACAAAAAGTAGATTAGTAAATTTAATGATATAAATGCCGAAAAACATTTTCGTAAACACATTTATTAAATTTACATTAACCCACGAACCTCTCAATGAATGTTATTATCCTTGTTTTTAATAACTTCAAGTTGTATAAGGTCTTTTTTTTTATTTTGTTAGTACTTTCAGCTGTACTTACAGCCATCCTCGAGCTTGGAAATTAATTTGTTTTTTAGTAAATCTAGGTAGTAGCGGGACACGAAAGATTAAATGTTAATTGAAATATGTTTTTTTTGTTTTTTAGAATTGTGTTATTATTAACGGATAAAAAATTTTGGAGCGTGCAGTCGCAACGCTAAGGTTGAATTTTTTTTGAAAACTTAAGAGAGCGTTTTTTTTACTAAATATGGTAATTTGAGAATTTTTTTTTGTTGTAACAGTTTTTCAGTCGATGAAAAGTACTAGCAAAATAAAAAAAAAGACCTTATACGACTTGAAGTTATTAAAAACAAGGATCATAGCATTCATCGAGAAGGTCGTGGGTTAATGTAACTTTAATAAATTTGTTTGCGAAGATGTTTTTCGCCATTTATATCATTAACTTTACTAATCTACTTTTTGGATGACTGATTCATGTAACATATATATATATATATATATATATATATATATATAAAGGGAAGAGATTATAGTTGTTCCAACGAGAGAAAAGAAGGGATAAACCGCAAACATTTTTGGTCATAATGTGTATTTTTAGAAAAATATATATCATGCTTAATGCCACTATCACACCAAAAAAAAAAAGAATGTTTAACATAAAAAACATAAGGAAAATTAATTCATTTTAATAATATAGTGAAATATTCACTCATTGTCTGAAGAAGGTCGCAAGATCCGAAACACGTTTTGTAAAATTACGGAAAATAAAGCATGAAATCTTAATTTAATCTATGGGGGGTAGATTCTTTTATTTCCCTTTCTATGACTAGGGATATCTTGTCTTCATTTAGTACTGCTCAGTTACTGCTTACTGCAATATATTGCTGCTGGGCTCAAATAAGGCGACGAACACTTATATATAAAATATATATAAATATATTTATTGTTTGAGTTGTGGTAAATGGGTAGATTGAATGAGAATCACAGAGGTTAAGATTGCGCACACAGGAATTGACGGAGACAAATTTTCGGTGAGCCATTAGCCAGCCTCTCTAGCCAAACCAAGAATCGGATCGGTTAAATACCATTTTGACACCTACGCAACTTCACGTCGCTACGGCTTATTCCTGTATGTCACCTACGCAGCTTCGTGTGGCCACGCCTCTTCCGGCATGCGTCCACGCATTTCCTTCCGCTCAGGTCGCATGTACGCCCTGCGTTTTCCAGGCTCAGGAAACCTGTGCGGGCTGCTTATTTTAACCACCGGATGCATTTTCTGTTTATGCTATCACCAGTTCCGATTTCTGCTCACACACTGATGCAGTAGAAGTAAGACCAAATGTCCTTCCTCAACCGATATCCAACACGCATTTCTAAAATCAAAATCAGGCCTCAATTTCAAATAAGAGTTCATATTATAATGACGTTCGACATAATAAAAATGTCGTATTAAACAATGTATATCATGTTTATCGGTCGGTATATTCGAGAAATCTTAATAACCAAGATATGCTCTCTTGTAGGACTCGAACTTGCGTCTCCTTTATAGAAGAACAACCTTCCCCCAGGTGTTGCGTACAAGCTCAGAAAAGCTCAGGCAATCTCTCATCTTCAGTTCTCCTGAAATGAGCTACACAGCATAGTCGATTGCGAATGAGCAGTAGATGTTTGGCCGGTTGTATAGCGAAGAAAACGATGATTTACCTCGTCAAACCAAGCGACAGCGCGTCGCGTGTATTCTACGACGGAAAAAATGGCGAAAAAGAAAATTACTTACCAAACAAAAGAGGCACTTATTCCGCATGACATGCTGAAAATGGAATATTTGAATTAAAAAAAAATAAAATAAAAAAAAATAAAAACAAGTCCGTCGCAGGAGTCGCTATAAAAGTTTTTTGATATGCAAATTATGGAGCATCTTATGTCAGCTGTTGAATGAAAAAAATAGGTTCTGCCGATAAAAGCAGTTGGTGGTCTCGATTCGGGGGCGGAAAATTCGGGCATCTTTGGCTTCGGCGTTTGTTAGAGAGTGAGTTATTTTTTCTGACTGGTTTCACGCATTGTGATTCGAAATAGTACCGGCGAATCAAGTTTTCACCATTTCTTTCTGCCCCCCCCCCCCCCCGATATTCGAGTCTGTACTTACGGTGATTTTTCTTTGTGTTGTGGAAGTAATCTGCGACAAATACTTCATTTGCTTTCAGAACGCTTACAGGTTGTAAAATAACTGTTTCTGGTGTGAAAGACTGTCACATGATCTCTAAGATTTTTTGATTAAACCTTTACCAAGTTTTGATATGTTAGTGAAATATAGTTCATGTCTCCGAAGAGTATAGGACAAAAGTCAGGAAACACGATTGGTAAATAGTGATCTTAATGCTGGGTGAGATATCTCTGTTTGATCTGACCCGTTTTTTTTTCTAATTTATCGCAGGTTTTTCTCGTATTTTCGATTCAACAACTGATGATTGATTTCGGGATCGAAATAACCGTCTCTAGCGAGTATACTTCCAAGTAAAGCAAGGGATCAACAACCACGAACCTGTCACCCTAAAAGAAATGTTAGGTTCAGCATAGCGTTGCCCTGCAGAGTGTGTACGTAACGTTATTCCTTTTACGCATGCTCACGAAAAATGCTATATTATGGGTTGCATGTTCTTTTCCGTATCAGCAAGGAAGTCCGCAATGTCAGCATAGAATAACTCTTGAACAACTGACTGGAAATTCTTTGATTTAGCATTGAAACGAATAGAGTCAAAGACATTAACTGTAGGCCTAAACGCAGGAACACACCGAGAGTCACATTATAGAATATAGCAAATAATGTGGCAGCAGGAATGTCCCCTAGGTTAACTCCATTGTGGATCACTACATGGGTTCGATAGACCCACTAAAATTGTCACCCTTTAATCTCCCTATGAAGTTGTTTGAACATTAGAAATTATGGTGGGGGGCAACTTATATTACTGAAAATATTCCAGAGAGACACCCCATTTGTGGAGTCAAAGATCTAGGTCAGATTGGCATAAACCTGATACAATGCAACACGATGTTCTGAGCATTTCTCATGGATTCGAGGTGCTGAGATCAAATTCGTTGTGCCTCTTCCCGTTCTAAAGCAAAATTTTACCTCAGGGATGATTTAACCTCAAATCTCTCTTCTACAATTATTAAGTAGATGTTTGCAAAATCTTTACCCACTGCCTTACGCAGGCACATGCAGTGATAATGCCCACACAATGGTTTTGAACCGTTTCAGTTCAACAGTGAGATAATTATCGCATCTTGCCAGTCCTCCTTCACAGCTGACTTTGGTCAAACGCTCGAAATGATATTATCTCTACAGAAAGTTTGTCGCGTCAAATGTCATCAAAATCTGATGCCTTCTCAGTATTACCTTTTTTTTTTATTGTTTTCTGGATCCCTTCCAAAGAAGGATGACCCAACGTCTCATCAATCCAACATCGTATCTCATTGATGTTATCTTCATTAAATACTGAGGTATTATAAAAGAAAGATAGGTAAAATGTTCAGTTCAGCGTTTCATTCTAACCTGCAGGTTACTCAAAAAACACGGAGGAGGAACGGTGGAGTGAGGAGGCACGGTGGAGTGAGGAGGCACGGTGGAGTGAGGAGGCACGGTGGAGTGAGGAGGCACGGTGGAGTAATGGATAGCAGCTTGGAGTGAGGAATCGGAGAGCTGAGTTCGAAATCCAGTCGAATCCATTACATTCGCTTACGTGCTAATACTCTTGGGAAACGTGTGAATCCTCTTCTTCTCCCTCCAGCTATGGGTAAATAGCAGGACAAATTGGGTTCTATAGCCTTGGGGGGCAACTGGTTTAGGAGAAGGAAAAATCTGAATTCAAAATCTGCGGGGGGTCGTTTGGGGACCTTGTGGCACGTAGTGGACCAGATCTCTGTAATCGGCCCTTTAAAAAGTGTGGATGGTCCTGCACGAAAGCTTCACCGCTATAATTAAATCTCATGTGCTATACATGCGGGTTGGGGACCGCTTGTGAATTCCAAATTCCCCTGAAACACCATATTGGAGCCGGCTCAACCCACCTGGGGTGAATGCCGTTACAAGAACAAGAACAAGAGAGAGAGAGAGAGAGAGAACTCAAAAAACAAACCCGTCCGTAGACATGAGTGATAGCACAGAGTAGGTTTGCCAACCCCAAAAGGTCTACTAAAACAGGTGATATAGAGTTTTGGAGTCCTTTCGATCGCATGCACCCTATGCACCCTGAGGAATATATATATATATATATATATATATATATATATATATATATATATATATATATATATATATAGTATAGTATTTAAGCACCAGAAAGAATTGCTGGTTCTTTTGTTTGGCAGAAAAGCCTTTGGGGCAGCCATGTTTTTATTGTAATATTCTCGATATCAAAATTTCGGATAGAGAGTTAATAAAATTAATTTGGAAAAGTTTATCACTTAGCTGAGTGGTAAATGAAAGATCTGTAAAATGTTCAGTTCAGTGTTTCATTCTACCCTGCAGGTCACTCAAAAAACAAACCCGTCTGTAGACATGAGTGATAGCACAGAGGAGGTTAGCCAACCCCAAAAAGTCTACTAAATCAGGCGATATAGCGTTTTGGAGTCCTTCCGATCGCATGCACCCTAAGCACCCTGTTCTTTCTTTTATATATATATATATATATATATATATATATATATATATATATATATGTATATGTATAACTATCACCCTCCCTGTTAAATTACAAAAATTACACTACCCATCAATTTCTAATCCCATTTTCCCTTTCATTTCGTTGTTGGAATTGTTACCTGATGATCCGGAGTCCTTTAAAAAGGATTTTGGTGAAATAAATTATTGTAATGGTACCTTAAAGTGGTCTGTTTTTTCATTAAATATTAGCTCTGTATTCACATTGAGCTCTCAGGATTTCATCCTCCTTGGAATTACCCATTCGGTTTACCAAGTTCTTCGTAACTTATATATATATATATATATATATATATATATATATATATATAGTATAGGATTAAGTACCAGAACTGGTTCCTTTCCTTGGCAGAAAAGCCTTTGTGGCAGGCAGCTCTTTATTATAATGTTCTCGATATCAAAAGTTTGGATAGAGAGTTAATAAAATTAATTTGGAGAAGTTTATCACTTAACCGAGTGGTGTACATTCAATCATGCCTACTACAAAATAATGGGGAAATACATACACTGAAACAAATATCTACTTTGTTATTTAAGCAGTAATTAAACAGTGACACACAAAATATATCGAATCACGCCCATTTTTTCTTCTTTGTATGTGTCATGTTCTTTCAGTTCGAAGGCAATCATATCTCACCAGCTCTCTCTATCCCTTGGAGCACTCAACAAGCCCCTTTCCTCTGCTTCCTCCCCTAGATCATGTTCTGTCATCCACTTGTTCAAGCTCGTCACCATGCGCTGCTTTCCCTTGTCTCTTCTTCCTTCTATTCGACCCGTGAGTATCAGATCCTCCAAGCCCTCTATCCTCATTATGTGTCCCAGAGACTTCAGCCGTCTCTTTCTGATTTTAAGTATAAGCCTTCTCCTTGTTTGTAACCTCTCTAAACCATCCTTGTTTGTAACCTCATAGTAGCTCATGCGCTCGTTACATGATATCCCCAGCATCCTTCTGTAGAACCACATTTCCGTCGCCTCGAGTCTCTTCTTCATCTTTGAGGAAATCGTCCAACATTCGCTGCCGTAAAAAAGGACAGATATCACGTAACAGCTCAGTATTCTTTTCTTTCGTAACAAAGCAATCCCCCTGTCTCGCAATACTCTACTCAGCTTTTGGAATGTCCTTGGCCATCTCAATACGTGTACGGATCTCAATGTCGCACTTACCGTTCTCTGTCAAGATGCTTCCCAGAATTCCGCGTCTGTTTGATTCTAGTGTTCCCGACCTGCAAATCACTTTTCGGGCTCTTCCTCTTACTGATGACCATGCATTCTGTCTTCTTGTAGCCAATGCTTCTTTCTTTCTTTCTCATTCTCCGTCGCTAACTTCTGTCGATGATTTTGTAGTTTCTCTTCCTTGTCTGCTGTTAGTTTTGTGTCGTCTGCGTATCTTATGCTGTTAGGATTGTGACCGCCAATGCTAAATCCCGGTAGGGTTTCCAATTCTCTCAGAATTGCCTCGCCATATAGGTTGAACAGGTCGGGTGAGAAGACGCATCCTTGCCTTACACCCCTTTCTATTTTTGTATATACACTGAACTCGTTCTCTATGCACATGCATGATGTTTGCTGCCAGTATAGGTTCTTGATTACTGTGATACCTTTCACGAATATATCAAAATTGTTGAGCAATTCCATTGTCGAAGGCCTTTGTGTAATCTATGAAACATAGATACACGTCCTTCTGCATCTGTATAGCTCTTTCTGATAACATCCTGAGCATGAACAATGAGCTCCGGGGTGTTTAACGAACCCGCACTGTTCTTGTCCTAGCTCTGGCCTGATACTGCAGCGCGCTTTATTCAACAGAATACGGATGATGAGTTTTGTCATGTGGCTCATCAGGCTTACTTTTCGGTGGAGTTCTCATCCGTTTGCGCCGGGTTTCTTAGGCATAGCTATGAAGATAGGGCTACTAATGCC